CTCCTATGAGTTTGCTTATAGCTTTTGCCTGAGAGAAACAGAAGGTAACAGTTCCAAAAATGTAAATGCGCCAGCCTCTTGAAAACCAAGAGGCTAGAGAGCTAGTTTGCTTGTTTGTGGCTTGGCAGAATGTAGGAATCCCAGCTGTTATTGTGACTTGTTGAGAAACCATGGCTTAATGCAATGTGTGTATCTTTACATGATCACTGTAGGGGAATGAGAGAGAAGGGAACTTTGATGAAGACAGCAGATGTGCCAATGTGTTAAGTTTCTCATCAGGTGTTGCCAAATTATCTCCTTCCTTTAAAACACAGGCATAAACAAAATGTGGAGAGATCTGCCCGGGACCAAGTACAAGAAAATCTGGACAGGCGGAGCAAACAGGATGAGTAAATGGAAAATGACACATGCTTTGTTTTCCTTTCACTTGGCCTATAATGAGGAGGAATACTCGGCTGCACCCAAAAATTGTGTGATTTTTGAGTCTTTATTTATGAAGAAGGGGTAATGGGTAATTTGGCCAGGAAAGCTACGGAAGCAGCTACAGGAGAGGTTTCTCTCCAAAAGACAGCCACTCGATACTTCATGGAGACGGAGGAGTACCCACATCTCTTTGTGGAGGATGGCATTCTCACAATACAGGATAGCAATTTTAAATCGCCTCCTACTCCTTGCTGATAGTTAGACACTGGCTCTCCTCCTGCTTTGGACCACTCCTCCTCCTCCCAGTTTTAAAGCTGATAAAATCTCAGCCAAGAAGAGATTTCACCATACCTAATCTGCTTCCACTCAGGCGTGGTCTTCCGTGTCCTTTGCATGCCAATTGCGAACCAAGCACTTGAAAGCAAGACAGAAATCCTGCCTCGCCCTTTTCTAACCCGCACACTTTTTTTAATCAGATCCCTCTCAGCATTCTTCTTCAGCCTTAATAGCTGCTCCTGCCACCCTCTATCGTAATGCTCCTATAGATGGGTTTCTGGATTCTTTCTCTTATAATAGAACAATCACTGTTTAAAAAAACCCTGTGTTCATCATTTTCAACCCCCCAAAATAAGTAATTTTCACTTCAGCTTTTTAAGTCCCAATCACAGAGATGTGTGAGCTGATTATACCAATCTTATTATAGTCATCCTAAATAAATCGTTCTCTCTTTACTTGCTATTTAGCTATAACTTGTAGAGGCTTGGGCCTCCTTTTCCTCTTCCCTAAACTTGTATCGGAGGCAGGCCCAGCCTGCTTCAAACTTCTTGTGGGCCGCAGTGTACCACTGGCTGGGGGCCTTTTACAACCAAGTCCTGCTTTTTTTAAAGCCCCGTGCAGCATTCCCAGCAAGGCAAATTTTTGTTTTCCAACTGATCATGCAAAAGGGAATGCGGACTTTGAATAGGGAGGATTCTGCTCCTGCAGCGTCACCAAAGAGATGCACTTTGCTCTGTTTGGGGGGTCAATTTAGAGAGTGCTTTAGACCAATTTGTTGGACAAGGGAGTATCACTTTTTGTATACTGAATACTCACTTAGGCATATCATTGCACTTGGCAGCAGACTTGCCGTAGTATTTATTTATTTTGTTACATCAATTTATAAACCACCCAGTTCTCATGAGTCCAGGTAATTTACAATAACATGAATTAAGGACATAATTGCATAAACCAAATTTCTCCAAATGACCCCTCTCCAGATGGCGTGGAACTAAATTCCATAATTCACCTGCTGGGATGGCCAATTCATCTGAAAGACACCAGGCTAAGAAGCTGGACCAGCTGTACGTTCCTGATAAACACACAAGCGTTACACAAGCTCAACGGCCGTCTCTCCTACTACTGAATGTGGAGGTTTTATACGGCTATGACAGCCAACAGCCATTGGCAGACCTCCATCTACCTTATCTTCATTTTAATTTCAGGTCAAAGGGCTTGTGATTTTGTAACCCAACAACAACATCCAGTAATCTGGGAGGTACCGATGGTGAAGACGGTTGGCTGAACTTCCTGTAGGAAATGAAGTTTCTTGATTAAGAAAAGTCTCCTCCATGGGAATCTGCTATTCATAATAATATGAGGTGCAATTGCTTCACGCTCATTTTGACAGATTTTGGAAAGCTTGGGACTGATTTACATAACCACATATTGAGCTTGTTAGTCATGTGGGTTTTGCCCATAGTTTTCCATAGGCAAGATTGGCTCATGAGAGAACAAACAGTGCACATATGGAGTGTGTGGCAAACTTGACAAAATATAAGCAATTAAGTGTACTTCTGTAAAATGTGTAAATGTCTGTCATTGGGTAATGCCAAAGACTGGTGTGATATCAGAAAGTGGTTTCTCAAATGAGAAGCTTCAAGTTGGATTCGTTACAGACCAATTCTTGCTTGGGACAGAAATGAGTCATCAGCTCAGAATGCTGGCTGACTTGGCACCTATGGAAAATATTACATTTGCACGCAAGCTGCAACTGCTTTTAAAAAAATGTTTCTTCATTTTGTTCCTATGCAGTTGGTATTGCCTAGCCTTCTTATGACTGTCAAAATACATTCTGGTACTCCCTCTGCAGTTCACATGGTGAAGCTACAGAGTCAGGAAGGTTAAACACTCCCTCTGGGGACCGTTATTGAAAAGGGAACTTTTCGTTTAATAACCAGAAACATTTAATTTAATTTTATGATTTAGAAGCCCCTGACTGCACAAGATTCTGGACGGCTTACAGTTTTAAAAGCAAGAATGATCCAGAAGCAAAAGTCACAAATGTCCAGCCAAAACCATCCATAACCAACAACAAAGGCTACGGGCCACAACACCCACCGTACCCCAAGGCTTGGGAGAACAGCCAGGTTTTCAGCGATTTTCTGAACATCATTAGGGTGGGAACTGTATGGATCTCTGGAGGACACTGTCCCAGAGAGCAGGTGTCCTTCAAGTCCAGCCCCCCAGATTGTAATGAAGCCTCCAAGACTGAAACACAACTTTAAGCCTCACTTCTTATCCCATCTAACTTCTGCTTGGAAACAAAGGTCATTTTTCATGGCACGATACGTAAGCAAAGATGTCTAACGGCATATAAAGGGCATCTTCTGTGCCCGCTGATTTCCCTGGAGCGGAATGAACATTTGAATCTTTCTTGAGTGCTTATTCCTCCGCATATATAGCCATTTCTGTTTATTCCCATGCAAAGGTTACATGGCCCTTCTGTGCTGCACTCAATAACCAGTTGAACTGGCTAAGCTACAGTGTGGTCTTTTTCTTTGTTTGTGGTATATTGTCTTAGGTAAACATAACCAATGGTGGTTGAGTAAATAAACTATGGTTAAGCACATAATGGCTTAACCTTCTGAGTGAACAGTCACTGTTTTGTGAATAGTCGCTATCTATGGGTAGGTATCTCTGCCTGCACCTCCTCCATCCTTTTTGAAGCCTCATGCCCTGGACTAGTTGGCAAAAAATGATGCCCCAGCAATGTTGGCATTAAGTCAGTCAAATAATCCAGAATTAGCTGGGTTCCCACCACACCTGAAGAGGCAAAGCAAACCCAAAGTAACCACAGTGTGCTGTGGGGACTGGGCCAAAGCCAGGCATCCTCAAGTGGAGGTGAGACTACAAGTCCCAGAATTCCCAACAAGAAAAAGAAAGGTCACTTGGGAAGGGGCTACAGCGCTAAGCCGTTCCCTGGCAACGCTTTCCCGGCGTTCTCCGAGCGCAGCAAGGCAGTTCTGCCCATCGCCTCTAGGAACGCGGAGAGGCTCCCAGCGTACCTTGCGCCGTCTCCACGGTTACCAGCGCTGGGCGCCCAACTGCGGCCTAGGCCACCGCGGCCTAGCAGACTGG